CCACCCCCCCCCCCCTCCCAAAAAAAAAACAACTCACTTTACACTGCTTGTTGCTTAGAATAGATGCAATTCCTTGTAAAATGTTGAAATGTCTGACATGATTTATTGAACGGTTTTTTTTTTAAATTTGGTTTATAATTAAAAAATAAAAGCTTGGTGGTTAAAATTATGTTCGCCATTAATTTACTCAACTTGTCCCATCGCCATTCTCATCAGACTCATTTTGGCACTCATTATTTAAGATGTCATTATGCCACGATCGATCATTTATTTGTAAATAACCAAGCATTCACATAGAATATGTTAATTTGAGTGGTCATGTTGTTGTTGACAGAGGTTATTTTTTAGTGTCCGGTTTTGTTATATACAAAATAAATAAAAACAATGTTTTCAAAATTATTGTTTGTATCGTGATTTTGTTTGTCCCTTGTCAGCAGGCCTTGGGGCGACACTCTCTGTCAGCAGGCCTTGGGGCGACACTGCCCCGTCAGCACGCCTTGTGGCGATACTGCCCTGTCAGCAGGCCTTGGGGCGACACTCGCTGTCAGCAGACCTTGGGGCGACACTCCCTGTCAGCAATCCTTGTGGCGACGCTCCCTGTCAGCAGGCCTTGGGGCGACGCTCCCTGTCAGCAGGCCTTGGGCCGACAATCCCTGTCAGCAGGCCTTGGGGCGACGCTCCCTGTCAGCAGGCCTTGGGGCGACGCTCCCTGTCAGCAGGCCTTGTGGCGAGGCTCCCTGTCAGCAGGCCTTGGAGCGACGCCTCCTGTCAGCAGGCCTTGGGGCGACACTCCCTGTCAGCAGGCCTTGGGGCGACACTGCCCCGTCAGCGGGCCTTGTGGCGATACTGCCCTTTCAGCAGGTATTGGGGCGACACTGCCCCGTCAGCAGGCCTTGGGGCGCTACTGCCCTGTCAGCAGGCCTTGGGGCCACACTCCCTGTCAGCAGGNGGAGCGACGCCTCCTGTCAGCAGGCCTTGGGGCGACACTCCCTGTCAGCAGGCCTTGGGGCGACACTGCCCCGTCAGCGGGCCTTGTGGCGATACTGCCCTTTCAGCAGGTATTGGGGCGACACTGCCCCGTCAGCAGGCCTTGGGGCGATACTGCCCTGTCAGCAGGCCTTGGGGCGACACTCCCTGTCAGCAGGTCTTGGGGCGACGCTCCCTGTCAGCAGGTCTTGGGGCGACGCTCGGCCAAATGTTGCCAGTAAGGCTTTAATGTCATGCACCGCAAATGAGTTGTTTAAAAATCAGTTTTAAAGACTCACGTTTGTGGATGAGGTAGTTTGGAGGTACATCTTCAAAGCTCAAACCATTGTAAAAGAGAGTCATCACACCACCACACAGTGTGAGAGTCATCACACCACCACACAGTGTGAGAGTCATCACACCAACACACAGTGTGAGAGTCATCACACCACCACACAGTGTGAGAGTCATCACACCACCACACAGTGTGAGAGTTATTTTTATTTATTTATTTATTTAGGCATTTTTATATAGCGCTTACCTTAAAGCTCTAAGCGCTTTACAATTATTAAAACATGTAAACTAATTAAAATAAAAATGAAAAACGAGAGACACAAGGATAGTAACTACTATACTATAGAAACAATTAAAATGGCTATAAAACAAGGACACTTTGGCACGTTTCGGCCTATACTACAGGATCAACCCGAGACAGAAAATGGGGCAGGGCAAGGAGGGTGCATCACAGGTCATAGGCGGACCTAAACAGATGGGTTTTAAGGGAATTTTGAAAGGGGACGAGGTTTTCAAATTGACGGATGTGGAAGGGGAGCTGGTTCCAGAACGTGGGCCCATGGAAGTAGAAGGAGCGTTCACCGATGGTCCTAGTTTTGTTTCTTGGGATCCCACCACCATACAGTGTTAGAGGCATGACACCACCACACAGTGTGAGAGTCATGACACCACCACACAGTGTGAGATTCAAGACACCCTCACACAGTGTGAGAGTCATCACACCACCACACAGTGTGAGTCAACACAAAACCACACAGTGTGAGAGTTAAGACACCACCACACTGTGTGAGATTCATGACACCACCACATAGTGCGAGAGTCATCACAACACCACACAGTGTGAGAGTCAAGACACCACCACACAGTGTAAGATTCATGACACCACCACACTGTGTGAGAGTCATCACACCATCACACTGTGTCTTGTCATTTCTGATGTGCATATGTAGGGTACCGCAAGTTCCGATTTGACCGGGATCATCCCGGTTTAACAGCGCTGTCCAGCACCAGATCATGATTGATATCAAAACATCAGAACTTGATTGATATCAAAACATCAGAACATGACTGATATCAAAACATCAGAACATGATTGATATGAAAACATCAGAACATGACTGATATCAAAACATCAGAACATGATTGATATCAAAACATCAGAACATGACTGATATCAAAACATCAGAACATGATTGATATCAAAACATCAGAACATGATTGATATCAAAACATTAGAACATGATTGATATCAAAACATCAGAACATTACTGATATCAAAACATCAGAACATGATTGATATCAAAACATCAGAACATGATTGATATCAAAACATCAGATCATGATTGATATCAAAACATCAGAACATGATTGATATCAAAACATCAGAACATGATTGATATCAAAACATCAGAACATGATTGATATCAAAACATCATAACTTGATTGATATCAAAACATCAGAACATGATTGATATCAAAACATCAGAACTTGAGTGTGAAGCAAAACCATCACCAGCACCCTGGGTAGATGGGACTCGTTAACCTTGGATGGCAACTCATCTAAGAGACGGCAACTCTGAATTCAAACCTCGAGATGGAGTCCCGAAAGGCGGACAACATTGATACAATGAAAAATTCCGACAACTCCAGCGACGTCACTGGTGCCACGCTGTATCATCCAATGATGTTCCCTTGGGTTATGCAGCGGCGTGGAGAGAGGCGATTTGCTGTTGGGAACCAGCTTATAATCCTTGAAGAATAATCACAGGACCTGTGGATTTCGTCCTCCGAAGCCCACTCCATCGTCACATTGTGACGGACGGATGCCAGCAAAAAAAGAGAACTTGACTGATATCAAAACATCAGAACATGATTGATATCAAAACATCAGAACTTGATTGATATCAAAACATCAGAACATGATTGATATCAAAACATCAGAACTTGATTGATATCAAAACATCAGAACTTGATTGATATCAAAACATCAGAACTTAATTGATATCAAAACATCAGATCATGATTGATATCAAAACATCAGAACTTAATTGATATCAAAACATCAGAACTGGATTGTTATCGATTTCCATATTTATTGTAACTACGCTAAAATGCGATGGGTAAAGACTGTCAAGTTCTAATTTTGGATTACGCAAAATGTTTCTATTTAGGAATAAATCCACTGGAACATTTGAGACCTTTTGAATATGAGACCTGGACAAAATGCCCCACCTGCAACATTTCGACCTCTGCGTGACTTCCCAAGTTTAATCTGCAACAATTAGTTACAGTCAGTTAGCATGTGAGGACCAGTGGAGTAGCTAGTGAGTCTGTCAAGCATAAGGCTTTCATTGACTTACCCGGCCCTAATGGAGGAAAACAACAATACATACATAATACACTTAGAAAAGTATTTGAAGGGGACCGAGAGTAAAGCCCCAAAATAAGTGCCACCCAGGACGGACTGACCCCTGTGGAAACCCCCCCCCCTTTTCCATATACCACTGTTCATGACTAAAAAAATGATGTCACTGACACCATGTATAGTTATGTCACTGACACCATGTGTAGTTATGTCACTGACACCATGTGTAGTTATGTCACTGACACCATGTGTAGTTATGTCACTGACACCATATATAGTTATGTCACTGACACCATGTATAGTTACGTCACTGACACCATATGTAGTTATGTCACTGACACCATGTGTAGTTATGTCACTGACACATGTGTAGTTATGTCACAGACACCATGTATAGTTATGTCACTGACACCATGTATAGTTACGTCACTGACACCATGTATAGTTATGTCACTGACACCGTGTATAGTTACGTCACTAACACCATGTATAGTTATGTCACTGACACCGTGTATAGTTACGTCACTAACACCATGTATAGTTAGTCACTGACACCATGTGTAGTTATGTCACTGACACCATGTGTAGTTATTTCACTGACACCATGTGTAGTTATTTCACTGACACCATGTATAGTTATGTCACTGACACCATGTATAGTTATGTCACTGACACCATGTATAGTTAGTCACTGACACCATGCATACTTATGTCACTGACACAATGTAAGCCCCTAAACCAGGCGTTCTAAACCTTCTCGGAGCTCACTTTCAAAACATTTCTTACATCCACCCCCATCACCCCCACCCCAAAAAAAAAATTCTTGAGGGGGAAAAAAATCTTTTCGCCAGGTGAGTTAAATGCTTACATATTATAGAGATGTTCCCTCCCATTAAAATGCTTACATATTATAGAGATGTTCCCTCCCATTAAAATGCTTACATATTATAGAGATGTTACCTCCCATTAAAATGCTTACATATTATAGAGATGTTCCCTCCCATTAAAATGCTTACATATTATAGAGATGTTCCCTCCCATTAAAATGCTTACATATTATAGAGATGTTCCTCTCATGTTTACAAAATTCGACCAAAACTCAAGATGACCAAGTAGAGCTATAACCGCTTTAATAAACTTTTTTTTTTTTTATAATGTATTTGTTTCCCGCACCCGTTTGTTAATGTTTACTTTAAACAATTCATTCAAAAGTAACTAGAAATAATAACATATAATTATAACTTTTTTTTTTTTTTGGTTTTTGAAAAATTTCACCAG